TTTGGGGTTTCAGCTAATTGCTGCATGCATGTGCAGCCTGCAAGGTTGGTGGTGTTGCTTTGCACACCACCTTCCTTGCTTGGGAGGGGGGAGAGAGAGTCAACTCTACCCAGCTCTGTCCTGACCTGCTACCTCCCTGGACTTCTGGTTGCACCATCAATTTACAAAGGGCAGGACCTGTGTAAATGTTGTTCCTGTTGGTCTTTTGGGGTTTCTGCGTGGCAATGTGGCATGCTTGCACTGCCACAGTGCCACTTGTTCTGGAGTGTGCCACTTGTTCTCATGGCAAACAAGCACCTCCCAAGACAGTTCACTTTCCCTGAGATTCTCTGGGAGAGTCTGAGTGCTGGGTGCTGCCTGCTTGCCTGCCTTAAGTGCTGCTGGCTGTGTTTCCCCATTGGAAACAATGGAGGTAATGGGGGTGACCTGTTTGGGTGCCCATAGAATTGGGCCCACTGGTCCAATTGCTTTGGGACATGGGGGTTTATGCGGGGAGAGGCTCCCAAAGCTACTCTGAAAATCTGGAGCCTCTCCCTCAAACCCCCTCCCTCCCAGAGCCACTAACAGCACCGTGGTAAAAAAGTAATTCTTGTTCCCACCACAGAGAACAATGGAGGGGATGGGGGCAACCTGTTTGGGGGCCCGTAGAATTGGACCCTCTGGTCCAATGTTCTTGAACCTTGGTGGGTATCTTGGGGAGAGGCTCCAGCAGGTACCCTGCGAGTTTGGAGCCTCTCTCTCAAACCCCCTCCCCTCCAGCCCCCAGAATATACCCTATGTTTTCGCCATTGACTTCAATGGCCCATAGGATATAATGGGGCTGAAATTGACATTTGGCTGGCCGAAAGACTCCCCAATGGGCTGTACTGACGAAACTGACATGCAGGAGTCTTACTGCCAACCGAAATTGATTCCGTCTGATTCCGCCGAATCCGAATCGGCCACATTTTTTTTTTGCACACCCTTAGTGTGGACTGGGGGGGGGAGAGGAGGTATTTCTGAATTTCCTGCATTGTGCAGGGGGTTGGACTAGATGACCCTGGAGGTCCCTTCCAACTCTATGATTCTGTAATTTAACAAACAGCCTCCCAGGACAAAGCTCTGTCGGTGCTAAGGTCCAGCTTTGGAAGACATGGAATAGCGATAACGAAGACTGGCTGTGACGAATGGCGGGGCGAGGAGGAGACCCCACTGCCCCCTGGAGAATGGAACGTCTCCTCTGACAGGCACTCTCAGGCCAACTTCTCTCTCCCCAGTCTGACTCCTAAATTCTGCAAACATCCCCGCTCCTAATTCACTACCACCTCATACAAAATCATATTTCTGGGTTATCTAAAGTTAACAGGAGGACACGGTTGGCCCCATGTGGAAGGTTCATTTTTAACAGCAATGATCTACTGTTCAAATGTCTGCACGGTCTGGGGGATCATGTGTACATAAAAGGGTGCAGGATTCTAGGCATCAACGCACATCGCGCATAAAAACCTTAATCTGTACTGGCTGAGGTCTGATTTAAAATGGAAATAATGGAAGAACCACAGCTGCCAACTTAAAGAGCAGAGACGAAACAAAGTTGTGTGTGACGCTATAATAATACTCAAAGCCGTGTGCACAAAAAAATGGTGAGTGAACGATTTTGTTAGAAGTTTACTCAAGTAACTTAATTTCTCTTGAATATTTTGGCTCGTTTATTGTATTCTTTGTGTAAGTAACAGTTGGACTTTTGTCTGTTATAGATTTTTCCAACCTTACTTGACTAGTCTTGACAGACTTTAGGAAAGACAGCAATTGTGCAGGCAAAACGTTTATAAAATTTATAAAAATTGTAAAACTAAAAACTGTTAAAGATGTTGAAAATCCTTGCTAAAATGGTTAAAAATTGTTAAAAATGCCATAAATATCTATAACTATTTTTGTAATCTTTTGTAACCATTGGATTAATGTTTTATACAGTTATATTTGGTCCTTCTCTAATGAAGACCTTGGAAACTGAAGCATTACCTGGAAACTTCATTAGAGTAAGATTACTTTTGGACCTTCTTCAATTTTTGTATTCTGTACTTATTTTATTACATTTTATGTAATAAACTGAAGCATTACCTGGAAACTTCATTAGAGTAAGATTACTTTTGGACCTTCTTCAATTTTTGTATTCTGTACTTATTTTATTACATTTTATGTGCTGTTAAAGTGTAGACAGTTATTTTTGTGTAAATGGCTTTGAGTATTATTATAGCATCACACGCAGCTCAGTCTGGTGTGAGAGCCAGTTTGGTGTAGTAGTTAAGTGTGCGGACTCTAATCTGGAAGAAACGGGTTTGATTCCCCACTCCTCTACTCGCAGCTGCAACCTTGGGCAAGCCATAGTTCTCTCAAGAGCAGTTCTCAAAAGAGCTCTCTCAGCCCCACCTACCTCACCGGGTGTCTGTTGTGGGGAGGGGAAGGGAAAGGAGTTTGTAAGCCACTCTGAGACTCCCTTGTGTTAGTGAAGGACAGGGTATAAACCCAGTCTCTCTCTCTTCTTTCGAGGTCTGATTTAAAACATGGCGATGAACGGTCCAAGAGATTTCCCTATGGGGCTTTTCACAGGATCGTTCATCTCATTTCACCTGTGCTCAGTAATGCCAACATGATGCTTCCGCGAAGGCTATGGCCCTCTGTGTGCCAACTCAGCTGCTCCTCGCAGGTTGTGGCCCAGTTTAAACAAGACCCCGAGACCGTGCAAAGTCACGCGGGGAAGCTCTCGTGCCTCCCCAGCACCGCATTTAAATTAGGCTCGGTCAGCACTGAGAATCCAGAACAAACCTGTTCATCACCTTCACCTCTTTAGAGGCAGCGGGGAAACGCTGACACCGCAGAGAAAGTATCCTACCTTCACCTCTGAGCATCGCCTACCGCTGCTTGATGCCGATATGAATACAGTGCATCTTACATTGACAGGTACGAGCATTTTCTTTTTGCATTTTAAAAAAGACAGTAAAGCTCCTGAAAACGCAATCCCAGAAAGAAAAAAAAACCCACACAGAATTACTCTACGTATTGCAGTTGCTGTTACTCACTGCATTTTCAGGATGGAAGATGTAAGACGCAGGGGAATTATCGACGATGATAACTTTGCTCAACTCTCGACCCAGGCGGCTTAGGTCCTTCACGTAATTTCCTCTGTGGAAAACGCAGGATTCTCTGAAGAGTCGGGCCCTGAACACACCCCAGCGATCCAACAGGTCCGCCACTGGGTCTGCGTACTTAGATAAAGAAGGTAAATGATTAAGACGCGGCCTCAGACTTCTGCTTCGCCAGAGAAATTAGCACAGCTTTTCAGTGTGGGCGTTACTGCCTGCCCCCAGTTACAGACAGAACTACGAGGATCGTTTCGTTAAGCTCCTGCGTGGGCTGCGCATAGAACCTCCCAGAGGTCCGAGAGGGACGGGAGATGCCTCCTTCTCTCCTGGTCTCTGAGAAGGAGCTTCTGGATGCCCTGCACGTGAGCTAAAACACGGGCTGAGTGCCAATCCACAATCCACCTTCATCATATGCGCGTCCAGATCACGGGAGGTGGTCGTTCCGCTCTATTCTGCTATGGTCAGGCCTCACCCGGAGTATTGTGTCCAGTTTTGGGCACCCCATTTTAGGAAGGATGTTGACAAGCTCGAGTGTGTCCAGAAGAGGGCAACCAGGATGGTGAGAGGGTTGGAATCCAAGCCTTACGAGGAAAGTCTGAAAGAGTTGGGTCTGTTTAGCCTGGGAAAGAGAAGGCTTTGAGGGGACATGATTGCAGTCTTCAAGTATTTGAAGGGCTGTCATGTAGAAGATGGAGCAGGTCTATTCTCTCTTGCTCCGGATTGCAAGACTAGATCTAATGGGTGGAAATTACGAGGGAGTCGATACTGGCTAAATATCAGGAGAAACTTCCTAACTGTAAGAGTGGCTGAGCAGTGGGACAGACTGCCTCGGGAGGTGGTGGATGCTCCTTCGCTGGACATTTTTAAGCGGAGGTTGAACGGCCATCTTTTGGGTATGTTGTAGGGCTATCTTTTGGCTATGCTCATGCAGAGTGCAGGGGGCTGGACTAGATGATGTGCAAGGTCCCTTCCAACTCTTAACATTCTATGATTCTATGCTACAAAACTCCTATGCAGCGACCCTGTTCAAGCAGAGACAGTGACTGAAACGCGTATCTGCACAGTGGTCGTAATGGACCAGTTTTTTAAAAAACACACACACCACAACTTGGCTAAGCACCCAACGTTTATTGAGAATACTTTCATGAGTCGCTGTGGTTAGCTAACGAGTGAAGGTACTGTGGGGTTCACCACAAGTCAAGCAGTTAAGTCAGTATGTAGATTTCTTGATCGTATATATATAGACCAGATGTATGGCTTGTCTAAATATATTTAAGGGTCAGGTTTGTGAAGGAGAGTCATAAGAACATAAGAGAAGCCAATACTGGATCAGGCCAATGGCCTATCTAGTCCAACACTCTGTCACACAGTGGCCAAAGATATCAGGTGCCATCAGGAGGTCCATCAGTTGGACCAGGAC